CGGACTATGTTTGGGTAGCCGCTGAGGTGCGAGAAGCCCGGGGAAAAGGCTGCTCGCGCTGAGTGCCAGGCAAATCGCGAGGCAGCCGCTGCGTCTCAGAACGTCGAGCTGAGGGCCGAGCAGTTCGTTGGGGGCCTGGGAAGCACGCCATGAGCAACTTTATCGGGGCCGAGTTGAGCATCATGTCCGAGAGGCTGCAGCAGCATTTTCACCGGGTGAATCTGGAGGCAACCCAGGCTGCCGCGCCCCCGGCCCTGGCGCGGCGCGGAGCGGAGCCGGGCACAGCGCGCACCGCGCCCCGGAGTGAACGGCGCTGCCATCTGTGCTGGTTGCGCGCTGAATGCAGCTGCGCGCGATGCAACGTGGCATATTGCGCCCGTCGCTTCGCCGTCGAATGGCGATGTGCCTCGCGCGGTGAGGATTTGGCCAAGAATGGGCGTGAATCTGAGACGAGGCAACAGAAATTCGGAGCGGGGGGTGGGAGGTCAGGGGCCAGCTCGAAAAATGAATGGCTTCGCAGACCGCCCCCGGAGCAAGGCCGTCGATTGCCCGCCAGTGCCGGAGGCATTCCCCATCTGTGGCGGTGGAGCGACGACCTGGTAACGGGGCTCCCAAGGGGGCTCGAAGCCTTCGAGAAGATGGCACAGGCGGAGCGCCAGCGGCTCGCCAAGATGCTCGCGGGGGCGGCCCCGAGAGCTATGTCGAGAATCGAGCCCGCAACGAGTTGGGCGAGGCCGAGAAGATGGCCCACCGGGCTAAGAGGCAATCAGAAGCCGAGGCCGCTGAGGAGCTCGGGTTCAGGATGGGGCCGCGCGGCGCAGGATGGAGGAGGAGAATGCTGAGCGCGCGAACGTCGTTCCCGCTACCTCTCCTCCTGGCCGCGCCTCGCGTGGCCCCGAGAAACCAGCCGGTGACGGCGGTGGTGATGGCGGTGCGTTCCAGGGAGAGGTCGGCGATGAATCGCAACCGTTGAAGGGGCTGACCAAGCGATCCCAGGATCTGGTCCCGCTGGCGGGCGACGACCTAATTAGATGGTGGCGACGATGGCTCCTCCGACGACGACCCCGAAGATGCCTCGCGCGCGCCCTCAGATGAGGACAACGGTGGCGATGGAGAGAGGCGTCGAGACCGATGCAAGGGCCCGCTGGGCGAGCGCCCTGACGGGGTCGGTGGTGACTCGGCGCCGGGCGGGGCGCTCGGCCGCGCGGCCTTTTGGAGCGATGCCAGCGAGACCGAGAAGGTATCCATCGATGGGATTCCTGATGCGGCTGGGTACAGCAAGTGGAGTGAGTGTCATCGGGCGCGTCGCGTATTTTTGCACAACTGGGGTTCCGCCGCTGCGTGGAGCGCAGATGCACTCAGGAGATGAAGACCGAAGGCGTTGAAAATTCGGGGTTTTCCGTGCTCGTCGACTTGATGGTCGCTTCGACCTTGGGAGCAAGACCTGCAGGATTGCAAATCTTCCTTACAATTTCGGCGCCAGGCATGTGGAATCGAAAGATGCGATGTTACCGTGCGGAAGAATGATGTTGAAATGACGGTCGATCCTTTAACGTTGCCGTGTATGTGGCCACCCAGGAGGATCGCGGTCAGGCGTGGTGAACGTGCCAGGATTTGGGCTCAGAGTCCGTGTTTCGGGCAGGGATGCGGACGCCGATCTCTGCCGCTTCTACGACGAGTGGACGAAGGAAAAAAGCGAGGGCAGACCCAATAAATCCATGCGCCCGCCCATTCAGGAACATTCCTGCAGGGGAATTAAGAGGCGCCCTTGTGGCAATGGCCCTGGCGATGTGCGGCCGCAGTGGCGATCCCTGCGGCGGGGGCGCGAGGTCGCGCGAGTGGCTGCTGGGTCAGATTAGCCGCCGCGCGCTCACCGACCGCGGCGCCCGCGACCGCGCCACCCGCAAGAGGCAGCTCAACGCCCGGGGGCTGCCGGGTGGTGGAGGCGTTGCAGGTCGCGGCGGCGCCTGCGGTGGCGACGGCGATGGGGCGGGCCCCCTTTGCGCGCGGGGCGGTCGAGAGGAAAGATGGAACAGGTGAGGCCAAGTGCGGGGCGCATTTCAAAGCGCGATGACAGGGCACGCGGGGAACGGGGGGCGCGCCGGAGAACCCAGAGTCGCTCCCCCATCGGGAATTTTGCCAAGAACGAAGCGTGCCATGTATTCAGCCGTGGCGCCTGCCCGTTGCCTTGGGACAAGGGCGCTCGCCGACGTCGGAAGGCGATGGGCGTCGGGGAGTTCCCCCGAGACACGTCGAGGCGGACCTGCAAAAGGTTGGCAGACCCGTCGTCTACCCGCGGAATGTCGGTCAGATTTCGGCGGCCGCCGGACGCGTTGCCGAGGGCGCCGCTCTGGGTGGGCTGGGCGAGGGCGATGGCATGGGTGGTGGCGCGCGTGCATGTGTGTGCGTGGGGGGGGAGAAGGGGGAGCTTCATGGGCGCGCCAGCGACGGGGGGCAGTGCGATCGTGCCGATGGCGGTCTGTTGGCTTTGTTTCAGTCG